GCTGCCGAGGCGCGCCTTCTGACACTCATAAACGATGGATGGACAAACAAATGATGATGGAACGTCCCCTGGCTTTCCCTAGGGTGGCCAGGCTAACATTGTATTTTCATAAAAATATTTTGACAGCCTCAGTTACCTTTATTTGCCTACACATTATAATTTGAAATAAGACACTGGCAAAACATTTTTATTATTTCATATTTTTAGGGGTAAGTTATAAGCTACCTCTCATACTCGTAGCAGTTTCATTCACTCATTATGGGACACCTTGTATGCATAAGCAATAAATAACATTAAATTAACCAAAAAAATATGCATGTTAAATAATATGCCTCCGTGATTACCTGTGAGTTTAATAGATATATGATGGGGTGTCAAAAGAACCTGTGTATATTTCACTCATACTTGTACTTCAAATTCAACAAATTATTTATTATGATGCGGTGTACATTATAAACGTTCTAAGCATATCTTGCCCTACCATCACTTATAATCTAGTCCATAAATATGGTTATATCCTCAAAACTGAAAATAAGTGGTCATCCTACCTCCCGCCCACAGAAAACCGAACGATACATCAAATTCGTATAAAGAGAGACGACGCTATGAAATAGAAAATTGTTAATCAAGTACGATGGCCGTGTTTACGATGCATTTCGGGTTTTGTTGGCACTCGTAGATAGATCATGCTATGGGTGCTTATGTTTCCAGGAAATGGGGAAAAGATGGAACATTATATCTGCGGTGTCGTGAAATTGGAAATTGTAGAGCAACGTCACATTATATTTCTTTGTTGCAATATCATTATCACTACTAAATAAGATTCCTAAGTGCTTAGCTTGACGAGCCGTCATCTGTACATCCATGAAAACGTAACAGCTGATGGGGAGCTCTTCGTCTCTGGAACCATAATGATACATTGCGTGCTGTAGCGGGTATCTGCTTTATTTCGAGGTAAGGTGCTCATTGCATAGATTTGCTAGGTATAAGTAGGCATTGCTTCAATGTTGTACATTACTTATATAATCTCAAAATAAAACAAATTTTAACGCCTCTACTTTGATTTTTAGATCGTCCCTCTTTTGTTTGATGTTGAAAATCTAACGTCATTTATTAAGGTACTGTAAAGCTTTATGCCTATCGTATTAAGCAATATATTAAGCTGGAAGGCCGATTAAGTAGTGTTGTAACCATTATTAAAACAGCGTGGTTAAAAATTGCCTGCCTACAGTAGAGGATTATGTAGGGACTAGTTAATAGGTAATAATAATAAATTATGAACCAAAACTTACTACAAAATATTATTTTATTACGTAGCTTTTTAAATTAAGACAATTTAAGTGTTTAAGTAGATTAATGTTAGATAAAACCGGCTGAACTAAATTTAACTAAGTAAAGTTCTTTTGAAGTAAGTAGGTACAACATGACACTATAAGCGGACCTAACGACAAGTGGTAGATTAACTAACATTTTATTTCCATCTAGATTTTAAGATTTATGATTTATCTTCCTATCCTTTCTTTTCTCCTATCCTTAAATGAAAACTCTCTCTAAATCATTATTGTATGAAGTTTTCTTATACCAAGCTCCAAGCTGTCAGTTACTACATAATGTATAATAAGGGTCATAAAACATGGACGCAGCAAAGTAATTCCCGTCTCCCTTTAGCGCAGGCTCGTAAAGTCTCTAAATCTCGTAAAAATGGCGACAAGCCATGTTAAGTAGTACTCCTAATTTCCACATCAAACCACAAAAGTGTTAGACATCCACCAATTTAAATATTCAAATTGAAGTATCTAGATGCAAAGGTATTATTTATACCTACATTTTCCTTGGTCAAGAATCGAAAAAAAAACAGCTCAAATGAACACCATTATTACTTACTTGTTCGTAAAGTTTTTCCTCGTGTCTTTTACTTCTTTCAGTTTAGTTTCATTTGTTGTACACGAAAATTTAAGAATTCGGGCAATGAAAACTAGTTAAAAAAGCAAGTAAAACTAAAATAGGCCGGACTTATAGTTGTTCTTAGCGTACTTATCTATGTCTGTGAAGAGAATTAGAATAGAAGAATTTTGTATTTATACGATGATGATTTTCCACACTGTAAAGAATAAAATGAACGTGTCATTGTGTATGTTATATAGCAAGCACTTAGATGCGGGAAACGCAGAACCCGTAATGAAAATCTTTGTCCAGCAGTGAAGGGAATTCGACTGGAACAAACGAAGGCATGTGTGTGATTTATTTTGTTCCTATCCGATCCCACTGTAACCTCGCCATTGTGGTTCCCCTGAATAAATAATTCAAGGGGCGTTGAAGCGAAAGTCAAACTTTTATCCTCAATAGCACTTTTATTATTCCACGGGAATCGGGATTAACGGCCAGCCAAGGTGGAACTGCGAAGTTCTTTGTCTTCGAATAATTTACTATATTGAGGAACTCTTTCTTATCTTTCGATGGCACTTGATACTATTCCCATGAACCCGTTGCGTCGAAGCTTCGATTTTGTTTGTAGACTAGCTTTTGCCAGTGGTTTCGCCCGCTGGAAATTTTGTCGGTCAGAAAAACATTATAGCGCGTCCCTGTTTCAAAAACCGGGATAAAAACTATCCCGGGACTCAACATAAAATCGGTTCAGTTGTTTAGGCGTGAAAGCATAACAGTCGACAGACAGAGTTATCTTCGCATTCATAATAAATTACTAGTAGGGAAGTAGGAATAGGAGAGAACCGAATACATCGATTGAGTAATTTTAGTTGACATTGACTCAAATTCTAGGAACTTCCATTCATCTATTTCCTTCGTCGAATGAAAATAGGACTTCTTTAGAACTGTCAAACAAAAGTGATTTGCCATGTTTTAGTGTTTCATTTATCCGCCATGATCTTAGCCCATGATGGATGAATGCCTTATATTTCAACTGAGACTGAGCAACTGCGAATCACGGCAACATTGTCTCGGAAACAAATGAGCATTTGAAAATTATACCTAAATAAAATAATAAATAAATAATAAAGTAGATACTTTGACTATAAGGTATAGTTGTAGGACATTAAATGACTCTTTCAAAGTAGAATTGCATCTTAAAGTTAAGTTAATAAGGCCATTTATACGTGCCTGTGCTCTGTAGGTGTGATTCAAAATTAAAATATTTTCTAGCTTCTGCCTCCGGCTTCTTGTGCATGTAGGTAATAATAAATAAATTGTCTGTCCCAGAAATTATAAGTAATAACGCGTCTCTGAATAATAACACATTCATACTTACTGTCAACAATTCTGAAAAACTCTTTATTTCATCCCCAAATAAATATGAATTTTCCCGTTTCTTACTTGAGAAATGATGGGTTCCCGTACAAACTTTTATCCCTTATTTCACCCTCTTCAAGTGTGACAAAAGGTAGACTATAATAATACATCCTCAGAGGTCCAATGTATCTCTCTCTATCTTATACGAAAACGAATCGAAATTGGGATTGAAGTAAAAACGTAACAAACAAAAATTTATAATAATTAATAATAGGACAGTGTTCAGTCTTCTATCCTCATATTATTTTAATACCGTTGAAACATTAAGTAAGATCTAAAATATTTATTTTTATTAACGCCTAAGTTATAAGTGATTAAGTAAATAATCAGTTATAAGTGATTAAGTAAATAATCATGTTCATAAGTTATTAATTCCTAAATTCTGTTGCATAATTTTCTTTCTTCATCTTTTCTACAGTTTATTTTATTTTACTAAGATTGAAACTTAAATTGTTAGGATTATTATCTATCAAACAGTACGTGCTTAAACATCATACTCGTAAATGCATACACGGTAGGCAAATCTAGTTGATTGGAGCATGTAATGCCCCAACATAAAATAAATGTAGGTATAACACCTGGATTAACCTAATAGAGAAGATTAATTAAATCGAGACTATTCCCACATTTCCCACCTCTCGTTTCTACCGCTACATCTCCTATGTAGCCAGGATCTACAGCTCGACCGTCAACAAAAACCCAACCAGTGAAGGTCAAGTTTGTCCCGGGGGAAAGTTAAACTGTCATATTATAGGGCACTTTGAACACAGAAGAACTCAAACTCATAAGCATTCATTGTTGTCAAATATGTTGACTTTTATGGCTGTATCGTGTTACCGAAAAAATCACGTTGCAAAAAATAGGAAGTAATAAAAAAAAATACTTAGCCTACGCGAATGGGGAAAGTAAATCAATCATAAACGTACAATAAGGCTTAACAAAATCTCCAACGGGAAATTGAAATACTGTGTACATAGCAAAAAGTTTAATGGAGTTATTACAAAAGCGAATATTTGTAATGAGAGTCCTAATGGGAAAAGTTTTCAGCTCACGGTGGTAAATGATTCGATCAACATCAAGTGTGTTTAGTCTCCCATGGAATAAATACTCGTGACGTGCACAATCACTTAATTAAGTACAGATGTAAAACAGTCCTAGAATAGCTTTGGATTTGCAAATGTTACGTCTTGCTTTTCTATGTTAGTAAATACACAAATACTTTGTTAATTGTGAAGACGTTAAAGCCAAAACGTCTATTGTAGCAATAAAGATTTCGTTACAAATTAAATTGGATATTATATGAATCATGTTCTGTATAACAATTAATTAATTATTAATCCAAAAGCCTTTTTAAATGCTGTTAGCTTGTTGCATTTTCATCTTGGACGAATTATTATTATTCGTCCAAGATTTTCATTCTCAATCCTTGAATCATTGTTTAATTTGACCTGAAATATCGACACAATTTTATTCCACAAAATCTTTAGGAGTTAAAAAATAGGGGTGATTTGTCATGTAACGGATATGAAAAACATAAACAGATAAAACACAACTGAAAACTTTTCCACGTTATGTAAGATACGAAAAAGTCGACCGATCTCTTCTCAAAATATTTCGGTTCCGATTACCTTGCATCAACTTACCGTAATCCCAAGTTAAGAGACACAAAACACGGCGTATAGGGCGGGCGGCTCGCCCGGTGCCTCCGCCCGCGAGCTCAGTCCGCCTCTCGCGCTCGCTAGAACCGCCCGCCACGGTCCGCACCGCTCTACGGCGATTCCGCGAAACCGGCTCCACTTAACCCTTCACCCACCCCTGTGACAAACCCAGTGCATCTGTGATAGTGACATTTGTGACAGGAACGCTTCAACACCAGCCCCGTTGGATGAGGTTAGTGCAAGTTCAACGGCCTCTCACGTTGCCGTTTTTTAAATTTTCGGCATCAGCACATCCTTTCGTATGTAGGTCACTGTATTTCTGGTTCTCAGAAATTATTATAATTAAAATATTATTATTATTATCAAACAAATTAGAATTAATTCATAAATTATTAATTAAGATTAAACGAGTACAATTTGGAGGAGTGTGCTGAAAAATTATGATGCTGTTGACGCGTTATCTTATTACAGGCAAGAGTAAACAATGTGATAAATTACTTACATAGGGGCCATGTGAGGCAGATGCGTTTTAGAAACGTCTCGAGTGGTTGCCTATTGACACACTTCTTCGCGGAGCATCCTCAATTATAGATACGTCAAATGTTGCACACTTTCTCGTGTGTTACTGACATTTTCTATTAGTACCGCTAAATTATCTGTCAGTTTCCATGAACAATCAAACTTGACCCTAAAAGGGTTCACGTTGAAAGGGATATTAAGCCGACCTGTCTCTACCAGGTGTTCAAGCTCTATGAGTCCTTGAAGGTATGAGAGACACTATATAACCGTAACGAGAGATTAACACAAAGATAAAACTAAAATGACGGGTATGCTTGAGGGCAGTATTCAAATTTTTATCAGTAAAATATACAAATCTGTTGTCCAAAACGGCTAAAACAATTAGTATAGATAACGCATGTCGTTAAGTAGAAATGTTTTAGCCGTAAATAGTAGTTTTATCTTCAGTTTAATAATATTTGTGTCGATTATTTCCACTTGCATTGAATTTTCATCATAAATAAATTATATTTTCTGCTTACAATACTGCTTTGGATTCTGTAGTTTACCTTCACAAAAAAAATCTGCTGTAGTTAGTGGCAAGAACATTTTCTAAACTGAGTCAATAGAAAATCTAACCATACACGAAGCTCTATTTAACTATCTTTTGACAATAATACAGAGCACTGAAAGTAAAATATCTGAAAAGAATAGATATTTCTTCAAATTCCATTTCAAACAAGACTGGATGCGGGAGATTCACATAGTGTTGACTACAGAGAAATCTGAGCCAAAACCCGGGGTCATCCTTATACAAACAACCGACGGCCGACTTTATGGTCGTAGAAGCTTAATGCTCTGTGCAAGACACTCTTTGAAGTTTTCAGTTTATTCGTATTAAATCTGTGTAGACCGGCAGGTGAAACGCGCGCGTTTTTAATACGTTCTAATATATCGAAAAAATGCAGTTTGCTTGTTTAAATTTACAAATGTAAACTCTACCTGAACAAGATTTGGTAGTAGACTTGAACACAAATTCCGTTGAACAGTGATCAGAAAAATCTGTATCTACCTAACGTCATTAGGGTCTTAAAGAAAAAGCCTACAAACTAAAAATAGACATGCAATTTGCAAACCTTTTGCAAATACGAATGTTTATGGTGAGGGTAATCGTTATAAAATCGTTGCAAAAGCAATTAAAGCCCATTCGCTGTGAGGAATATTATATTTGCGCATCGAAATAATTTTATGGCATAATTATACTTATAATATTATTAATTCTGTACATAATAGTGTCTGTCTGATTACTCCAAACGCCTCTTTTGATTATTACGTGTCATATGCCTACATTGTTGTATATTACTTGTACAAATGTGATAATTATGTGCAATGCTATTGTGGTTATTTTATTTTTACAATAATACTACATCTACCCATTGTTTATTTATGATTATATGTTCACTTGGTCAGTTCGTTTAAAATAGATTGATTGGCTTTGGAATAATCAAAACACACATTATGAATCATATTTTCAAAAACCTTATCGAAAAAGCAAATACCTACCTACCTGTAAAATAAAGAACAAAAAACAGTATTTTTTGCTTTATTTTCTAATTATTTTTTATTTGTTGATACAGACAGTAACATTTTCTGTAAAATGTTGTCCCTTTTCAAAGCAGGAATAAATTAAAAAGAGGCGCATCGGCGCAGTGCAACTATGGATAATTCCATAAATAAGTAACACCAGGTAACACGCACTAGTATCTATTTATTTATAGGTACCTACAATATCGAATACTGTTTATTACCTACTTACATTTGCACAGAACATGACTTGGCCTTTTTATAAGTACTAAAACTAATTTATAGAGCCACAAATCCCAGCAACATTGTATCAATCCTCACTCGCTACGCGTTTACTACCGCTTATCAGTGGCTGCATTCTACACTAATCTAAACACACGCGCTTACGCATCACTGCGTGTGACACGAGTGTTGCCTTCGTATCGATAAACGACCTTGGTACTAATTATATCGATGGATATATGTATTAGTTTTTAATTAGTTAATGAAATTACTCGTACATAAGTATTGAAAGATACGATATTATGTGATACCATATATTGTGTTATAACCTAAACATATGACATTCTTATTTAAGTAAGATAGATATTTGTGTTTTGTTATATTTCTGGGAACTTATCTCTAATCTCGTCGAGATTATTTTCAGTTTTCAACAGTCACATATCAAACTAGGTAGTTTATGTACGAAGTAAATACTTAATAAAAAATTTGGTAAATTTATGTTATCTCCGTTTTGTAGAAGACACATAACATGTCTACTTGTAACATTAGGGTTTAAGCAGACATCGTGTAGCTGTCACCGGAAAATAATAAGAAACGCTTTATAAACTTTCGAAGAATTCTAAATGAGAGATGAATTGTATTATTTTACGCCCACATTTTCGCAAATTGATAAACTTACCGAACTCACGCGTAAAATAATAAGCCGTACCCAACCAATGCCATTAACCTAAATATCGATAAACTGTCAATCCACATCACTACGACCACAACAGACCGCAGCTGCCGCGATCATCAAAGCGCTCGTCTGCAGCGCCTCAAATTTTATTTAGATTGTCATAGTGCCAGCGATATTGCACTGCGGTTATGAATATAAACGCTTTCATATAAAATTATACCGCACTATGCGCGATATTAAATTCGCGCTACATTTTTCATGCGGCTAGTTATTTGGTGACTCACATCTTCCGCTAGTCTATGAAGGAGTTCTTAAATTAAATAAAACATGCTGTCATATCAACTCTAATTTATCTACCTACTCTTTAACTCTAATATATCTGCACATATTTTACACTAATATTAAAAAGAGTAAAGATTTGATTGTCTGTTTGTATTGAATAGGCTCCGCAACCACTGGACCGATTTGAAAAATTCTTTCACCATTATATTAGAATCCTAACATAATTTCTGATGAACATATGTGGTACGTTATTCGTTGGAGTAGCTAGTAATAAATAAATTGATAAAGAGAAATGCACACTGAAAACCAGCGCCGTGGCCTTCGTCACCGTGGGCCACGGCATATGCTGAGTGGGGTCCCGTTGCAGTGGGCATCTTGTTGGTGGATGGGTGGCACTGCTCAGTTTACTCTTGTTTTTATTTTTTCTTCTTCCATTATTATGTGCCACTGTCATGTCTATGTAATTGCCTGTATTTGTGTGATGTCCATTGTAATAAATGTGTCTTTCTTTCTTTCTTTCTTTCTTTAAATGTATGCTAAAACGAAACTAAACAAGTGATTAAATAAGTGCGTGCCTAAATAGTAGGATTTAATTCAATTTGGTAATAACATATTACTATGAACAGCAGCCAATATGAATTGAACTTCTATTAGGTATGTCTACGTAATCCAAATGAACAAGCTTAACATCTATCCATCACTCTAGAGACAGAATCTAGATGAAACGATATCGTCAAGACACATTTTAATCGGATTCGTCGCAATCAGCGAACGTAACGAGAAGGATTGTGTAGAAGCATGCAATTACGAAGAGATATTCCTTCAAGCATCCCAGTGCTTCGTTTGAATGGCCCTCTGAAAATTAACAATCCTCGTTGATTCCGCGTTCCGCTAAGTAGACGTGACCTATTTTGCCATCATCCATAGCGATTTCACGCCATGTCTTTCTTATACGAGGTGTATTCACGCAATGTCTTATTAAAAGAGGTAGGCTTACGGCGAGCGTAGATGTGTGCAGGATTATCGTTGGTAATTAATGTTTCATTATTAATGTGTTAAATATCAAGTTAACAATAACAATGTTACCTATCAACGATTGAATTATCAACCTTAATTAGGTAAATGTTTAATTATTTCCTCAAAAAGTGTTATTTAATGGTGTTACATGTGCATTATTGCAGTGTGTTACAAAATTAACTACTTATAGCTTTAATAACATCGATATCGTTGTAAGTTTCTTAAAATTTTTCATCTGAACTCAGACTACAATGGCACTAAATCTCGAAATAAAAAAATTACTGCCGTCTTTATCTCAGCACTCTTTTGAATTTACAAACAGATCGCAGTCAAAATATAAAACTTAATCTGACCAAACTATTTATGCTTCAACTACAAAAACGCGTGCACATCGCCATCGCCGGCGCGATCATAGGCCAATGACAGGTCGCGCGGACTGTCATGGGTCGCGCGACCTGTCATTGGCCTTTGATCGCACCGTGATCGCGCCGGCGATATAGCGATCTGCACGCGTCGGTGTGGTTGAAGCATTAGGCCCATTCTTTCCAAAGGTTATAATCATTCGATTAACATCTTTTACATAAACTCAGACCTAGCGTTTACAAAGAGATCGTATTATAAAATACTAGTGCTAAGTTACTCTTAATCTGACCTATTTGGCTCTAACCTTTCCTTCCAAAATGTTTCCTGTAAGTAAGAAACATTTTGGCATGAAACCCACATATCGAATCACGAAAAGACGTAACTGATTTTTATCAATTTTACAGGAGCGACATTTAAAGATGAAGTATGGAAAATGTGCATTTCAGCCCTTTTTAACTATCAATACTGGCTTTCTTTTCAAAGAATTCAGCAAAGATCTTTTGTGAGGTTATAAAATGAGTGTTTTTCAATAACATGGTGTGTTAAAAAATATCGCCAATTTGTTAGTTACGCCTTTTTGTGATTCGACC